GAAAGCACCAGTTTTTGCAGATTCTCAATATTTCTGCAGGAGCGCTGAGAATTAATTTGACAGAATATTTTGGAATTAGCAAGAGGACAGTATTAAATACTGTATTACAACCCCTGTGTGTCAAGCAACAAAACCCAGGCAGTTTGAAATGACACCATGCTTGGACTGGAGCAAGCATTTACCCTCTTCCTCCCCCTACCAAATATTTCTTTCAGGAAATCTATTTTAAAAATGTTAATTAAAATAGCAAGTTCCAAGCACATCTTTGAGACAAAATCAATGAGCTTCCAAGATAAAATGCACAATTTGCCAACTGTCTTTACTGCAAAGTGTTCTACTGTTTAATGTCATCTCTCTATAAATTGTGTTTCATTTGAACTCACAATCATCCTGGTGTTCAAGATGACAGGGAATGGAATCTATCCTATGAAGTACATTCAGCCCTTGGAAATCCAGAGTTAAAAGATTTACCAGTTGAATATTGCTGTTCTTCCTCCCTCTCCCCCAATCACACACTAAAAGGTGAGACATTCCCCCCCACACACCCACACCTTTTATGGTAAATCTCCTAAATGGGCAAGGGGTGGGGGGAGGGGTGAACCTTGTTGACTTGCAAAGCAGTGAGATGTCACCCACACACTAAAAGTGTCAGCACAAAATATCACAGGATGAAATCACGCACAGGAATTTATGGGCTCAGTTGCAGTGAAAGCTTTTGAGGACTAAACAGGGTTAGACTTCAGGTCTGTCTGCATGTGTGTCTCTGTGTGTGTGTGTGTGTGTGTCTGCTCTGTGTGTGTGCGTGTGAACTTTTCCATTATTCCTTAGGAAATGATCTGTGCCATAGAGAAAAGGGCAATTCCGAAGCCCGGTCTTCAAAACATTCCGATCCATTTCTTCATTGTGTCAAACACTCTTCGTAAACACGTTGGGAGTGCTTCTCTCCAGATTTTGCAAAGAATCCTGGCAAATGACACACTTTCGGTGCCGTCCTTTCCCAATCCTTCTGTATTTATGGTGGCGTGGCTCGGATCATTTGGCAGCTGATGAGGACAGGAGCTAGCTTTCAAAAGCTCCCCCCTTCCCGGACAGAAGAAGGCACAAAGAAATTTGCACTGGTTGCCTAATCCTTCGGGCTGCCCTCCACTTTTTCTCTTCCAAGCCCGGGACTGGCAGTGGCTCGGCAGGCTTGTTCTCTCTCCCTCTCTTCTCTCAGTCTCTCTCTGTGTCTGGCTGGCTGCCTGCGTGAAAGGCATCACTAGCAAGAGGCGGGGAGGCTGGAAAGGGATGTGCAAGGGAGGCGACGTCATCCCGGAGGCAGGGCTGCAGCATCTCCGGGGCCCGCCTGCTAGCAAGTGAGACGGCAGCCAACCACAGCCCGCCTCCAACCCAAGATGGCCTTTGAACTCTCCACCAACTTCCTGCTGAGGTTTCCCCCCCCCTTCTCTTTTTCAAAGGGAAAAAAAAAAGTACACAGTGCAATGCAGTATGTGTCTGTCAGCTCTGCGGCACAAAGGAACAGCCATTTTGTGACAATCCAGACCTGCGGTGAAAATGCCTAATGCTCTCCCTTCTTCCCTTCTCCTCCATCTCATTCTCCACTGCTCCACTGTTTCGGGCAGAACGTCAGCAATCCTCAAGTCTCTCAACACCACCACCACCACCCTCCTCCTCCTCCTCTCCCTGCCTTGGTCCTCGCCTCCCACTTTAAATCTCCTTCTTTGTTGCAAGGGTTGCTTCATAAAATGGCTGCCACTAGCTGAGCGTTTGGTGGGAGCCAGGGCGATGTGAATGGGCAGCTCCTCCAGAGAGGTGGCAGGGGAAAGTGCTTGCAGGAGACCCCCCCTCCCAAGGGTCTCCACTGGGAGGTGAACATGCATGTTTGAACCCTGCATTGTCTCAAGGCATTCCACAGAGGTGCGTGGAGAAGCAGAGAGAAATAGAAGACCTTATCCTTGCTATAACTTGAAGGGAAAAGCCCTTATCATCTTATGCTTGCCCCAGTCCAAGGCATCTGACCCAAACTGATTATTATGGTTTAGGTCAGGCCAGTCATGCTAACTGCAAGTCCCCACTGAATTCAGACTTAGGGTTGAGGAAAAATGTGGTTTGGGGTGAGAATGAGAACACACTCCAGGGTTAATCGCTAGCCCAAACTTTTACAGAAATATGGAGACGCTTGCAATTATCTGAGGTTTACACCTCTAGAAGCTCCATATTTACAGAATCTCTTTGCTATGACAATATATATGGACATTCTTGTCCTTGCTTTTAAGAGCAGGTGAAAAGTCTTCCATTTTCAAAAGAACTTTGATTAGCGCCCCAAGACTCAGAACACTTACAAGCCCAGCCCATTGGGGAGTGCCCCTTATACAGGCTTGCCCCAATAATTTAAATTTTAATTTAAGATTAGCCTTTCTGCTCTTCTTCAACGTTACCCTGTTTCCATTGTACATTTTCCCTTGTAAACCCTTCAGAAAAAGCACTGCTAGAAAGTGAGGTAGAAATGTAATCAATTAGTGGTGCAAATGTGTTTGTGTGGCTTTAATGAAGCATCCTTTAACCAGCTTACTTTGGATGGTGGTTTGCATCTTTTTTTTTTTTAGGACTTGGTACAATCCATCTTGAACATGAATTCTGTTATAGAAGAAAACTAATGCAATCTTTTAAAAACTCAACATTCTTGGTGGACTATCTCAGATGTTTCGTTTGCAACACCTAAAGTACTTTTCTGAAATATTTAAGTGAAAAAGCTTGGTCATGCTCAGTTATTTAAAACTATCTTCCAGGATTAGAAAACCAGTTAATTTTGACCATTTGTTTCATACCAGGTTGTAGCTGAACATGGATGTGATGCTCACCTCAGCAAACTATAATGTGACCAATTTCTCCATTAGTACTATTTGAATACTAAGGGGTATTCCAGACACCATTAGCCAAATTTATCCTTTGAAGCTGTGAAGTGGGGCTTATGCTTTATGTTTTACAATAAGGCATATCTGATCAAAATACTCCCAGGAAGAATGTGTTCTTTGTACAATGGATGCTTGTATTTATAAGCAAGAGGGAGGCCCTTAGAATGGCATTTTGTAGTAGTGAGGGGCAAAGAAAAGTTGTTTTTTCTAAAATAAATATTTGTTACACCCATCTTTTACGTATACCTTGCTCCCACCCAACTGCACACTTATCTCAAACAAATGATGTCACAAATGGATTAGGTGCTTTTCAGGCCCCAGTCTTATAGACAGGAAGTTTCAGATGTAATGTACACAGAACTTCCAGGATGTCTTGCTAAAACAATTTCTGCACAAACACATCTTTAACTTCCCCTCCAAAAAAAAGTTCATTTTACAATATGAAGAGTAGTTGCAGTTCAGAAAATAAGCTTTACAACATAAACTTTCAAGCAAGGCTGAGTTATGCTTTCACAGTTCATTTGAACTGAGTGCTGTCAATATAATTAGTGTCTTATTTTAATTCAGTTGGGTGTTAACATTTTGCTTGATGTAGTACTCCTTTATTACCGAGAAAGCAAAACTTCAAGGGTGGATGCTATGCAAATAATATACCCAAGAGAATAGAGGGGAAAAGGTAAAAGAGCTGGTTAATCTAATTTCTTTTCATTCAACTCAGTTCTGTTGTTTACAATAGATAGCTGTTCTCATCAGTGTTGAATCTCCTTGTTCAATTTGTAAAAAAAAAGAAAAGAATGAATTATGTTATTTTAATGTGGATATTGGCATGCTAATTTCAAAACTAACTTTTTATCAATGTCAGCAATTCGACTTTTACCACTGTCTTTTGGAGTTGAGCTTCAAAGATCTGAAAATTATGCAATAAAAAAAACCCAAGTTCCTTTATGTTTTTTTCTGAGAATCAAAGCAGCTTCTTCAGCATCCAAAAATCACGGAGTAAATCCATATAATATTTTAAATTTTAAGTGCTCTCTTCCATTGTACTTGTTACATCAAAGGCTTTCCTGACAAAAGGCCTTATTTCAAATGGTAATGTATATAATGCATTGAAAAACAGACCTGATAAAAGTATCATGTGTATTTTAGAATTATAAAAATATTGAAAACCTGAAAAGGAATACAAGTAACAAAGCCAGGAAAAGATCAACAAACACATTGGAAAAATATTAGAATCCTCATAAGATAACTATAGTTTCCATTAAAGTATGGTCAATATAAAAACAAAAACAAAAAAAAACCAAATTTCCTTCTGTTTCCCTTATAAAATATCAGCCTAAATATATTCAGCATCAAAATATGCATTTACAATGAACATGCACATAACCTAAGATTCCAAGAAATTATGCCTTAAAATAACATCTTTTTGTAAAATATAAGCAAACCCTATCCATGAGAAAGCTTGGAAACAGTATCAAAATATCCTAAAATGCTGAAATAGTATCAAAGTTCCTTAGCCCGAACTGAATATACAAGCAAGGAGTATCAAGCAAACACACGTATTCTTTTTTTTATTTTAAAATAAACATTTTTTCATTCATAGAACTTTCTGTAGTCTCTGATTTACAAATACCATCAGGCTTCTGTCAGGCCTTCACTTGGAAGTTTAAACTCCACAAATTCTTCAAAGAAAAAAAAAATCCCTTGTATGTAAAATGGTGCAATGCAGCAGAAGGGAACAAGGTCATTTTTCACAGCACAAAACCCCTCAAAATGCAAAATTTAGCAGCTGAAACTGCATCATATACAGGGTTCCATCTGTGTAAAGGTGCTTTACTTTTTAAGTAGAGCTTGGGGCCTTTTCAGTCACACCACAAGTTTCAGAAATTGTTATCAAAAAAAAAAAAAAAAAAAAACAGGGTGTGGCATATTAGCAGTCTCAAGGTCATTTCGTAAGGAAAGAATCCAAAAACACCGAAATCTATTTATTTCTATCATCAACGATGGCAAGTCAAAGCTGTCAAAAGGTTAACAGTGGCTCAGAATAATGTAAAAAAAAAAAATAAATAAAAGTTGAGAAGATCATACCTCGATGCATGGCTGTGGACGGAAGCCTCCTCTCCTTGGCTTTTGTCCGTACTTCTCAACATCTTTAAATTCTTAAAATGTTAAGGGACAAGCAGGAGGATGGCCGGAGTGGGGCTGAAGTCCTGCGCCCAAGGTATTTTACTGTCAAAAGTTGAAAGAAAGGTAAGCTCCCACACTTTTGCTTTGAGAGGTTTCCAAACAACAAGAACAAAAAAAAAAGCCCTGACGCTGCGAAGCTTGCTTATAACAAATAATACAGAAGGGACATCAGGTACGGTAAAAAAAATAAAAAATAATAAAAATTATCTTTGTTTTTTAAAAAAAAAAAACCCGCGAAGGAAACCCAACCCTGGGGAGCATCCTGCAAACTTTCCCGAAGTCAGCCCTGGAAGCGAGTCTTTCTCGGTATTTTATTGCGTCATTCCAGGCTCGTTGAAATCGGTCGAAAAATAACAAAATCCCCCCCGGTATGGGGAAAAAAAAAGGGGGCAAAATCCCCCCCCCTAACAAGGCATAGCTGATCATCGCCCACCTACCTGAGCCAGGCTCCAGCGCCAGGTCCAGCCCGCTCTTCCTAGCCGTGGGAAAACGCTCGTTTCCAAACGCAGCAACGCAGGGGGAGAAAAAAACAAACCAACTCCGCTTTCTTTTAAAAAATAACCCATCCGAAATTAATCCAAACGATCCGCAAGCGTTCCGTCGCCATCGGCAAGCGTGAAAGGAAGAAAAAAAAGGAGAGAGAGAGAAAAAAAAAAAGATCCGGAGAGGAAGAAGAAAAAAAAAAAAAAAGCTCATTAGCAGAGCTGACAAAAATGGAGGTACGCCATGGCTTCCAAGCTGGGAAAAACAACGACCTGGGTTGATTTTTTTTTCTAACCAGGCGAAGGAGGGGGAAAAAAAGAAGAGTCCCCCCCACCCCAAAAGCTCCTTTTTCTGCCCCAAAAACGCCCGATCCCCCTTGCCCCGGCCTCCGGGAGAGACCAGGGGCCGCAGGAGCCCCTCGAGGACGCCCAAAAGTTGCACAAAGTTGCGCAAAAGTGGCGGAGGAGAGGGAGGAAAAGAAAAAAAAAGAAAAAGGCAGGAGGCTCAGCGCGCTCTCCAAGGCACAGCCGCCATCTAGAGCTTTCTTCCCAGCTCTGAGCTCTGCCTTTGATTGACACTCTCTACATTTACCCCACAACTCAGGTGATGTACCATAGACCCACCCCTTCATTTCCACCCAAAAAAAAAAAAAAAGAAAGAAAAAGAAAGAAGGGAGCCTCCATCTAAAGGGAGCTTTACTCCCCCATCCCTACTATTATCTCCAGCCAACTCCCATCTGTGGAGGGGGCAACTGAACTCCAGCTGGTTCAGACACCCTTTCTAAGCCAAAAGAGAAAATTATTTGGTGGCTTTTGTTGGAAAGGGCTCTGGCTTTTACCATGGAGAGCCTTGGACTAGAAGGACTTCCTGCCTGGACAGGAAGTTGTGGTACACAGAGCCATTTTGAAAAGAAGGCAGTGGGACTTGGGGCTCCTTGGATTAGCGTGGGCAACGTGTATGGGTTGGCAAGCACCCCCAATGGGTAATTCCAAGTAGGAGTCATCTCTTCAACGGGTCTACTCGGTTACGACGATCTGATTGGTTCTAGACCGTTAATTTTTAGGAGAATTCCAAACAGAAGCAAAAGTTTTTATGTCGTCTGCCACTCGAGACTCAATGGCGCCTCCCTGGTGGTTCTATCCGGAAGGGGCAAAATCGGATCCATTGTGTTTGTTTAGGTCATCTGGTACCAAGAGAGTTGTGAAATAAATCCATGTCAACTGGACTACATAAAGATCCTAAACTGATCTTGTGATGTAGCTGAATTATAACGATGTTTCCGCACAAGTGGGACCAAATATCAATATTAACAAAAACCGCTTGCAACTCATGAGCAAAGATAAAACCAGCGTTCCGTCTTCAACCATTTCCATACTTGGAAGTTTTAGGGTTTTATCATGACCCCTAATATCTGGACAAAGGTCTTGATCTAGAGCCAGAGACAATCAAAATGACTCACAAATTGTCCTACTTATAGTAGCCATCATTTGTCATTTCTCCATATATTATTTCGGTCCAAAAAAGGTCCAAATAGTGCACTCTAAGTGAACAATCTGATAGCAAAATACTTAACAAAGTTGCCCAATTACAGAGATTTGGGAAGTGGCCAATTAATACCATTATTCATACTAATTTTTAAAACAAATTAAATATGCAAGAAATTCCATTAGCCTAGAATTAAGCCACCAATGAAGCAAACAGAAGCATCTAAAGATGGCATAAATGGCCAACTATCCACATTTACTTCAAAAGCATGATTACTCCTTTCAATAAAGTCAACCTCAAACATTAATTTTGCATTTTAGATAATTTACCCTCAATATCTTTTGTACATCAGTATGCCACTAAAATGAATCTTGTATGCAGCAATTGGAATGGAAAGTTAAAAAGATTTTAGTAAATGTAGTAAAAATGGTAAAGATTAATTTTTATGGAAAAAATAAGACAACTGATTTAAAGATTTTGACTAAGTTCTTTATCCAACTCTTAATGAACTGGAGCATCCATGTAGTAGGCACCATGATTGTTTTGGACACTTGTATCAACAGTAAACCAAGTAGTATTGTTATGTATGATCAAACCCACATACCACAATGAGGAAATCTAAGTATATAAGTATTCAGAGAAGCAGGTGTCAGTTTTTAGATACATGAATATTAAACCTGTCTTAGAAAGGTCCTGAGCACAGTGCCCATCCATAGATCCACAGAAAACACATTATTGGACTTGTACCTTTCTAAGAATTGCACCAATTCACAGATGTAATAAACATGAAGAGAACATGTAACTCCGACATTATACAAAGAGTAATAACAATCATAATATAGAACATAAAAACTCTCTTAAGTTTATAATCTTACTGAAAAGGCAAACTAAGGAATCATTTAAAGTTTTGAAATAGTTGGTGAAAGTATTGAGCTCCTTCAATAATCAAACAGTTCTCATCAATACCAACAACAAATCATATAAGAATGTTTCAGCCCAAAAGATGACAAACAAGAATAAATATGGAAAAAAACACTTTTATTTAAACCATTTAAATAGCAATGCACTTCTGCCAATTAAATAGGGGACAGACATTTTTATACATTCCTGGTTTGCAAAAATTTGATCAGCCCCTTCCAGCCCTTCATCCCCAGATGGGTGCTAAACCCAAGATTCTGGAAACACAGAATTAGCTCAGATCTTCTGTAGTTTAGACAATCGTCCATGCTAAAGAATCCCTGTCTTGGATGGACATACTCAGCAATCATGCACTGGTTCACTTTCTGAACCTCTCAGCAGTGGAACTGCCATCTTGATTTGGAAATCGTTGTCTCCCTTTGAGTTTCTTCCTTTCTCTGGACTCTTTATAAAAAAAAATTAAAAGAAAATGCTGTTGGAATGCAAGTAATTTTATCCTTAAATTTAAGAAGATAATCAACATTTAACTGTCATCTCTGAGCATATTTGAAAATAATTTCAACACATTTTAAAAAACTTAAATGAATTATCAAGATTAGTACTGTTGAATAGTAATATTTTCATATCAATGTGCAGTGCATTTTCCTTTTTAAGCTTTCTGCTGAAAGTAGGATCTGGCTTATAAAAACTCCAAAACAGACATGACTTCTGGAATTTTAATGGGCAACAACATAAAAGCAAAATGGAAGCTTCAGTGTTAGAAAATGTATTACTTTTGCAAACAATGTAGCACTAGTAGAGAAACCCATAGATACCTCTCCTGCTAAAGATTTAAAAGGTGTCCAAAAGAAAAGCCTAAGGAAAAGTACTAAGCAAGTAATTTTATCAGACAATAGAACTGATTGTATACAAAGTTATCTCCACTTACTTATTTCTAATATAAGATTCTTTTATTCTGGTTTATGTAAGTAAAAACTGAAAAAATTATTTAGACTTTTACAAAATTCCTAATAATAACTTATTCTCTCAAAGTATGCCTTATCGCCTGAAAGTTACTTTATTTCAGGTTTAATTTTATGTGGACAAGTAGCCCAGCTTGTTTAATCAAAATGACATTGTAGCCTCATTATTTTCTTGTACCTTCTTAACCAGAACTTAATTATCCCCCTCTGATTTCACTCTAGGGGCAGGATCCAACAGATGAAGCAGCATCAAATATGCTCATTTGAAGGGAGGAGATTTTCTGTGGAATACCTAACAATTACTGGAGAATTTCAGCAGATCTACCAAAATCAGTGTCTAAGACCTATTTCAAGTCAACATTTTCTTGAAAATGTTCAACATTTTCTTGAAAATGTGTTTCTAAAAAAGCTTCAGAACTGAACAAATTTCTTTCTCGCAAAGCACTAGCTATTGATCACTAAAAACTGTGAGGGATAACTGGTACTTTTAATATCTGGAAAAGTTAGGGAATGGTTTATTCATGGTACCATTCTGAATGTAACTATCAAATAAAAAATAGGAAGCTAGGGATGGAGAATTTATAGTGATTGGTTCAAGAATATTAATGTTGTGTCATCCCTTGATTGGCTATATCAAGAACCTCCCATTTTTTTTATCACTACCCACTATTACATTGTACTGTAAATGCAGCAGCTTAGCATAAACTGAAGCCACCATTTTGTTGCAACCAGTATCTTAAAGGCATCTTAGAGTCCTTGCATCTACCTTAATTATTCTCCTCATCACATGCTAATGTATACATTGTTTTCAATTGTTTCAAACAAAAAGAAATATTGACAACAAAATCATCAAGTCAAAACCATTTAGTTTTTGCAATGACTAGAAATCCAGCAAAATGTTTGATGGTAACAAAAGCAGATCAAAGGGGAAGAAAAACCCCTATGTTTATCTATGTTGAGAATAGATGATAGCTTCTGTTATTATTCCAAAGACTATATAGGATAAGCCAATGTTTTAATAAAATGTCCAACCACAAAAACATTCAAGTTAAGCTGTTTTAAATATAATTTATCAACATAAATTTATTACTTATGTTCTATAACTGGGTACAATCCAACTGAAGGGATTGTATGTACCACAAATGACACTACTTCCATTCTACTTCTATAAAAACACCACAATCTAGATATAAAATAACAAACTGGATTCTCAAATTTACATCTCAGTCATAAATAACTACAAACTTTTGAATAGCTGCCATTCTCCATTTTTAAAGGTGAATTTAGCATTTTTCCCAAAGCTCAATTGTATTAATCCAAAAGAAAATGACAGAAGTGAACATTCTCTACAAAACCGATGTACGTTTTTCACTTTAGAAACCTCAATGGCTCAGATTGTGTAACAAGTAACAACAGAATAAACACATCAAGACACGTCATACAAATTCATTTCTATTGAACTCCACAAGTTTTGATTGTGTAAAATATTATTTCATAAATTATACATTTAATGCTTAAAATCTTATAATTCATAAGGTGTACTGATAATGCATTACTGAATTCCACATGTAATACTGATATAGCACTGTTTTAAGATCTAAAGCTTTTGTTCAATAAATGAATAATAGTATAATGGATATATTATGGGTAAAAGATTCAAAATTAATCATTGTAAATGGATGTGACCAGGTATTCTAAGCTGTATTTAATATGTAGTTTCCTAAAAATGAGATCATCTAAATCCCAATTATTTGCTGCTCAGAAAATCTGACAATTTTAAGAATTTCAGAATTTTAATTAGCCCAAACAAGTCTTTTTAGAAAACAAACGAAGGCTCAAGTTTAACTCTTATTACTACTTTTGCAAAAGTATTGAGATAAACACTCATTTAGGTTTTGCCAATAGTTGCTGAAGAACTATGGGTGCTGTAGGATGTTCTTCATTAAGGAACAGACTGAGAAACAGGCAGCAAACAAGGTTTTCCTAAAGAGGTTTTATACCACTGAAACTCTTGTGTCTGTTATCCTTTGACTTGGGGAAAAAATTGGTGCATTGTAGGGCAGCTAATTTTGGACCAAGGTACCTCAAATGGGCTAACTAACAAAATGAGTCCAAAACCTAGAACCCAATGCTTCCACTGAATTGAAATTTGACAAATTTTATAAAACATTCATGACATAAAAATTATCATAAAACATTACATAATATAAAAGATTATGAAATATTTCCTTTGGTCAACTCCTCTTGTTTCTTTGTGCTTTATTACTTCAATATGGGCTACTTTCAAGGCAGATGTAGTTTTGAATATGTGCCTGGATTTTTAAGAACTTTTCTGGAACATTAGATGTTCTGCCATTTTTGAAGGCCTTGAGGAATCTGGTAGAGAAATATCTCTGAAACGATAATCCAATGGGCCCAGGGGTTGTTTAGTTAAAGTCAAAAAGAGGAAGAAATGTGGAACAAATATGGCAACATCTAAGAAAAAAATAAACACTGACTGTGTTTTAAGGGACCATCAATTTCCATTTTAACAGTTCTGTTGTTGGATGAAAGACGTGGTCTTACTATTTACTAATTGTTATATTTTGTCACTACTCTATAGATGTGTATGCACATAAATCATGTGAAACTTTTGGTTAAGGAACCAGCATTAATTATCTTAACCTTCTCTTTTTTGTAAGCATCCCTACAATGACTGCTTACAAAAGGAACATAGGACATATTTACACTGATGCACTTCACTCACATCAACTACCTAAGATCTAGCTAAAATATGACTAAAACTTCATGGTAAATATGTTTTGGAGACTGTATACCAAAAAGGAAGACTACTGCCATATGGGACTTAATTCATATTAACATTTATTTGTAAAATGTTTGTAAAAAGCTCTGGAACAAATAAAAAGCATTTATGGTAGAATCTCAGCATTCAAATTCATCAGAATGCAATGGGAGCTTGTAACAGGCAACCATTATTACTTGGTAAATTATTGTTTAAACATATTTCAATTAAACAGAAAAGGAGATATTTAGAAAATAAACACCTTTTATTTTAGTTGAAGGTGTATATAAAATATACTTGAGGTCATTTCCATTTTTTGTCACTCGTTTCTCTTGTGCTCTTTCATGTGTTGTCCCATAAAAGATCAATGGTACTTTCAAATAACCTGTTTATTGTAATGAAAAAGTTTAGGATTCTGTGGCTTTCAAGGTGTTGTTCAAATAGAATACCCATCAAGCCAAATAGCAAAGCCAAACATGAAAGCTGCTAAAATGGCAGTCTAGTAATATTTGAAGGACTGGCTATTCCTCTTCTATGTCTTAAACATTTTCAGAAATAGTATCCTTTTGTTAAGCAAATAAAGTGTAACTTTCTATACAAAAGCTCTGCTAAATCACATGATGAGCTGGTTTGTAAAGCACTGTTTTCCAGTTAGTGCTCCCCATACTAGTGAAAGCATAGCCACCACTGTATTTTAACTGCCAATCAACCAATGATAACTGGATTGAGTAAGGCTGACCTGAATAATGCAATATGCAGAACTGTAGTTCTCAACTGCTGCTATACATTCCACAGGTGAGATGCAGAAGCATTCGAAGTAAGAGTAGGATAAATCAATGAAACTTTCAAGTCTTCAAATTTACCATAAATAATAAATATATCCACAGAATGCTTGAACACTACCCTTCCTTGGATTTTTTTTAAGGGTAGAGAACTGCTTACATGGAATATGATTTCACCACACAACATACTAATTCAAATTAGGATTTTGGAGGAATTATCCAAGTTAGCCTTCTGAGCATAGTTAAACCCTCCAGAAAAATGTTCACTTAATAGAACAAACTGAAGTAGCTACTGCACTCAAATGCTACCCTTCAATGAGATGACTTGATTTATAAAGAATTTTCCTAGAATCCAAATATTCACCAGTGACAATTCTATTTATAGCATATTAAACATATACCCTAAAACCCCAGCATATTTTTTGATCAGCAGGTTCTTGACCAAAGGAAAACACAGCGCAAATCTTTTAAACCTTGTATTAAAATAACATGGTCTTGCTTCTAACACTGAATAGATTTTAGAAAACCAGCTGGTATATTTTTAAAAATGTCAGAATTTGTATATGATTACAGATATGTTGCATTCTGAAACATAGGAGCTTTAGATTCTATGTATCTCAATGAATGTTAAAATTTATTTCGAGCACCATGCAGTAGGATAATTATAGACAATCCAGGAGATGGTAGAACAGAACTTTCTGTTTTAAGCAGGTGATTGACTGTAACTTAGATATCTAATTACTTTCAAAATTAACTTGTTCAAGTGCTTTGTGCAATTAAAAGGAGCAAGTAATGCTTTTTTACAGCAAACTAATTTAGACCAAAAAATGGTGTACTGTATATGCAAAAAATGGCAGTCAATAAAAAAGAAATGTACTGATAAAGAGGGTTAAGCTGACTCCTTCTCACCAATGGTAGATTCAGATGGGTATATTTTTTATTATGCTATCTGGAAAAATATTAAAACATACAATTTTCCTAATGGTAGCAGAGTAGTTTCCTCCAAGAATATTACTGGTTGATTCTATTAAAATTATCCTGGAAACATGGCTCATTTAATTCATAGAGATTCATAGTTTTAGATCTTTTCCACAAAGCATGCTAAAACACAGTCACAAAAGCACTCATAGTAATATACTGAGAGCAACTTACCAGTACACCATAAAGAATCAGGTATTTTGTGGAATCAGTTCAATGTCATCTGGAGAGAAAAGGTAAATATCTTTTGTTTAATAAATTAATTCAATATATCACTAATAAAATCCTATATTTATTCAGAAAAGTTGTGATTACACAAGAGTGTTCTTAGTATACTAAACTATAAAGTTGCTGCCTGTTTTCTAAAGTAGGGACTTACTACTTTATGCACTATGAATCCATGGCACAATAGGTTTTCTTTGTGGAAATATGTGGGTATTATGTTTTAGGGCTTTCTTACTTTACCCTTCTCCTGTCTCACTATATAGCAACAGAAATATAGCCACTCTCTGAAATAGGTTGGGCTGAGAGTGAGATTGGCCCCCAAATCACCCAATGAGCTTCACGACCAAGGGTAGGCTAGAATCTCCAATTTCTAGTCCAACACCTTAATCATAACACCATATGTAAATTGAATATTTTAAAAAATTTAAGTTCTGTAACAGAATAAATTCTTTAAGGGGGAAAAGTTGAGGCAGCTAAGCAAAGTCTATTATTAACCAAATATGTCTGAAGTTATACAACACTGATTTCATATCTTTCATAATCCAGAATGAATTTAATAAACTATCATTGTTGCTAAATTCTAAATTTAGCAAGATTGTTAAATTCCAAGAAGAATCTTGGAACTGCCATATCTATTGGACCAAAAGTACCAGAATTCTTAAAATGCCATGGTAACTAATAATTCTGGAAAATATGGACTATTTGCAAACGTATCAGCTTCAGAAATCTCCAAGATGAAATATTCTGTCTACAATTTTGAAACTTAACATGGAAGATAGGGAGCTGATATATATGTTGGGAAGATGATAAACTTTTTAATTTCTCAGCTACCTAATTTCCTTCATGTGATTTCATTCAATAATGGGCAGAGGGGGCAATTTCACATATTACTAGAAATGTTCAGAAAACACTCTAATGTAGTAGCTCTATTTCTTCGCATTTAAATCTCAACATTGTAAGGAATTTTTACAGAATATGTGTATATTTCCAATTTGCAGACAATTCTAATTTCCATAATATCTTAGTGTAGCAAAGTCAATGGTGGATTTACTTAACAGATTAATTTTCATTACAGTTCTATATAACGATAATTTTCCAAGGCATATTTTCTCTGAAGCAAGTCCCACCAAACATTTTGGGATACATTTTCGTAAAATTGCAAATTTAACATATATTAAACCAGATTTTCTTTTTTGGGAGGTGGTAGTGATGGTTGTCTTCACATTTCATCATTTTAACTTTAGAGATTGAAATATTTTATTAGTCTGACCTCATCATGTAGTGGACTGTATAATACATTTCAGAAGAGAAACACACTACATGATTTTTCAAAAATTACAGATTTTCATACCTGTTATTTTTTAGCATTGACACATTCATAGACTTCCCAATAAACATAATTTGTTATACTATTCACTAGTGGATACTATAAACATCAACATTTTGTATATTGATACTTATTCTCAATTAGAGCATAGAAAAAGTGTTACGTGTTAGATGTTTTTTTAATGCCACAATACTTGCCAAGGGAATTAACCCAGAATGCTATAATGATTCCCAATTCTAAAGGGATTTAGGTGAGATCTAAGATTTTCTAATTTTCTTGGCTCTATATAGTCTGAATGACTAAATTAATGCAGTAACATCACTTTGATTCTTGACACTGAAATATCCTGTTGCAACCTTTACAATATTCATTACAGTTGTATAGAAATTATACTTAATTTACAACAATATATTTTACAACTGAATTTTGTTAAAAAAAGAAAATATGCCAAAGTCACCATCAATTAAAATGATGTAACTTAATGTTTGAACGTATTTAATGCAGTAACAGGAAAATTAAATTTAAATGTTCCTTCATTCTAGCCTGAATGATGATGTGCAATGGGCATGTTCTATAACTCTGAAGAAAAGAGGGTAAAAATATATGGATTACCTATTCTCAAAATTTATCATAGTCTATAAGGTTTGACACAAGGGATGACATTTTGACCAGTTTTCTGTTCACTCTTAAAACCATGTAAACGGAAATGCAATCTAATCTGAGTTAATTCCCTGGCAGTAATTATTAGTAAAATAAAGGACTGCGTTGTTTTTATCAGTATTTTATATTTAATAATTTACTGTATTTCTACTTCACTATTACATTTCCAGGTAAGTCATATGGCAAATATGATAGTCAGATTCAACATTTGAAGGTAACGTCTTAAATTGATAAATAGTCACTCAGTTTAAACAACTCAAAAGGACTGGGTTTTAGTAAAAACAGAAAAAATCTAAATAGCTAGTTATATAAAGTTTGATCAATTTCTTAGCAAAACATGTGTCTTGTTTTAAGAAGCTCTATTTTTTAATTTTTCAAATGTTAACCAAGTTGAGCGCCAAAATTCTGTGAATGAATTCTATCACCTCTTTCCTGTGTTCATACTTAACACTATCTCATATCAACAGTCAATTACTATTCAAACCTGGATTATGCGGAAAATATATCTGACTGTATTATAGGACAAATTTTGTATTAAGTAGATGACTGTGTGAACAAAATTTACTTCATCAGCATGACTTTCTGATTTTTAATGTAAAATTTAATAAATAAATTGATGCAACACATGAGATTGTTGAAATTAGCAATGGGATAATTGGGAGTACCAGTGTTTAGGAACATAAACGAAGTCTATTTAAAATTTCAACATGTCTATGAAAATTAAAGATAACTTTAGATTTAATATGAGCTATTCAATGTTTTATGATAGCAAAGTAATCATTTCCAAATACTGTAAATTTATGTCTAGTGCTAGAAATATTAAGTTTTAATATTTAACAAAAATTACGAGCGTTTTAGTAATATTGAAAATACTTTATTTTTAAGGTTTAGAAGGCTATTCCAAATTCTAAGCAAAGATTCTGTTAAAGAGATAAAGGCTAGAAAGATACCAAGATGTAAAACATCTGCATTATTCAAATAAGAATAAATTAAAAAATACCTGAAACAGGTAACATGTTCTCCTTTAGCTCCATCTGGATCCTTCTTGTTATTAAGTCAAGGGAATCTGTAAAAAGGAATATATGTGTGTGTGTGTGACTGTCAAAAATGCCATTCAACATAAACATCAAAAGACTTAAAGCGGAAAACCTACAGAAAAGTCCTCCCTCAAACACATATACGTGTATATCTGTGTGTATATATATATATATATATATATATTTCTAAGTATTTATAATGCACATTTTGGATTTAAGTTGATCATCCTTTTTGTGCAAGTATTAAGAAAACTTTTTTCATTCCAGTGATAAGTATGAAACTTGATCATAAATATGTTTTAAAATGAAAGTTTCAACTGGAAGCTTACATTCTCCAATACAGGCATATAGGAGATACGTACCAGTGAAATCAATAGGACCTTTTCAAAAATTCACCGATTTTTTTCAATTTTAATCAAATAATATAATCATAATGAAGTTTCTTTTTTTTTCTTTTTAGGGTAAATGTTATATATAAGGGACACATTTATTCAAAGCTGAGAAACAAAATGAGTTAATTCTTACCTACAAAAAATTCTGAACAGCTCTTATAAGCCATCTGTTATTGGGTGGCAAATATTCATAGAACACCTAAAGGAAAAATATATTTGGATTAATCAGAAATGTTTTATCTTAACATTTGTAGATATCTATTAAATAAAATACTTCAAATTACGTCAGTACTATCTATAAAGTTAAGCACTATTTCATAAAGTTTCTCGTAGACTGTAAGAAAAGTATTTCTGTACAAGCTTTCTGCTTAATGCATTCTTTTTCTACCATCTCAAGGGAAAGACACACCAAAAGTGCCATAACAAAGTCTATCCCAAAACCAATAGTCATGCAACTGCAACTATGAGAAAAGCCAAGCATGTTTAGTAGCTTTCTCTTATTCTCAAGGTTACACACATTTAAAATACTTCTACTGTTTGAAGTGATAGAATTATATTATCTTAACTGAGATTTCACCAGAGATAATTTTATAAAGCTCTTTTTGGAATGCATTTTTTTTAATAATCCACAGAAGTATCCAAATTTTACCTTCTTAACATTTACACCTTACTTTAATATCATTTTCTGTAAAAAAAATATTGGCCTTTTTTAACTTTAACAGTTCGCCTTATTACAATTTTCTAGTCATATAATACGACTTTCAAATCCATAATCATAACTTTAAACTTTCAGTGAAACCTCAGAGCTACTTATCTATATAGAATTTTTAAATACAACAGCTTTTGGTTGATTAATCAGTTGAAGCCACATCTCCAAAGGATTTTAAAATATTTGCTAATATTACAAAAATATACCAAATGCTCATTCCATGCCACAACTTTCTTATCTGATAAACATTTAAAACTACAAAGCCTAAGAAATATTACATATTGATCCAGGAGGAAAATACATTAGGACAAATTAATTAACACACCATTTTAAAAATGGACAGCCTGTCATCCAAATATTCATTTTAGCAGTTAAGTTCCAAACATTAAACACTGAAACCAATGAAAAAGTAACGAAGCATTTTAAGTTTTTACTTTCTGTTAATGAAGAGGTTTGAAGATTAAATTTGCATGAGAAAAACGCCAGAAAATTCAAACTTCAAATAAAACACATCACAAAAACACATTCTCCAACTTTTAAAACTGTTTTCATATATACTTCATCCCCTACTGCTAGTTGTTGTTGTTTTTTTAACTCATAATCAACTCTAGTTCTAATTTAGCTTATTCAATTAGATAACTCGCATACTTCTAAAAGATGCACGTATTTAAACAACCTTATGTGTTTCATCCTAAACTTTCATTAGAATCTTTCATTTTGGAGAAAACGTTTTTAATTTGATTATCGCTGACCCCCCCAAAAAAATCTTGTTTGCAAATTGTTTCCACATACCTAGTTTAGAAAGAGTTAAATGCCAACACCCAAATACAGAAAAACAAATTTGTTTGGAGAGAAAGAGACAGCCATGGCGTCTTTTGTTCTTACAAGAGAGAGAAGAAGAAGAAGGAAAAAAAAAACACCAGGGCTCTTTTCCTTTCGGTAACAATGGAGGACAAGGACTCTTTAAAGAACTTGAGACTTTGTCGCAGACATCCTGCCTATGGAATCACGGTATACCTTTTCATTTCCCTGCTCCAAATATTTTCATAGGGTGTTGTCCCAATTTGCTGCAGACCCCCCCCCCTTTTCTGTAGCTCCATAGCAAACCACCCTCAGATACCTTGCCCTTCAGTTATTTATTCTAAGGAAGAAAAATATAGAAATCCAGCACGCAGACCTTGCAAATCTGTATGGGGAAGAATGATGGCATGGACCCCATATATATATATATATAGGGGGGATGGATATAATCCCTAGATTTCTTCTGGGTAAGGGGAGGGGGAAGAAAGGAGGAAAACTGCAGTTCAATGGCGGCTCTGGTTTGACATCCACCTCCTTGATGTCAGGCTTTGCGCCTAACCAGGAATCTGGGGGGGAGGGGGGGCTTTTCTAAAAAAAACCCCCCAAAAACACGGAACCAGAGGGCGTTTTAACAGCCTTTTACAGCGGTACCCCCAAAAAGGGAAGAAAGGAAAAGCCCCCCCCCAACCTCGAATTCCACATTACGTTTTTCACCCCCGTCTCAGTGTACCCCCCAAATTCGTGGCAGGGGCATCCACACCCACAAAGGTGGACTTTTTTCACCTCCAGAGGAAAAAAAACCCCATCAACAGCAACAAGGAATCAATCCCACCTTCTCGCCCATCTGATCGCCGGGATCGAGCCCCTCTTTTCTAAGAAGTCCTTCCCCCCCCCACACACAGACCACTGAATTTGGGGAGGGGTACCCCGAGACTTGGGGGGAAAGGAGGCTCTCCGGCTTCCCACCAGAAAGCCCCAATGCGAGGAAGAAAGGGAGCCGCTTTTCTCCCTTCGACGCCCACCTCGGAGGCGGCGGGGTCTTCCTCCTCCTCTCGGCGGGAAGCCTCGGCGCCCCGATTCCAGTTGGGGGGACCCCCCTCCCGCTTTCGAGGCGCTCGGGTAGGGTCTTTTCCCCGCAGAAGGGCAGGGTCCCCGGGTTCTTGCCGCCGTTGGCCGCCCTCCCCCCCCCCCCAATCCCTCAGGCGGCTCCAAGGACATCTTGTTTTCCTTCTCAAGGACAAAGAGACAATGGCGGAGGGTGGGGGGGGGGCGCGGCAGAGACGGAGGAGAAGGGCTTCGCAGGGCTTCAGCTGAGGCGATACTCACCGTCCTGAGGCGAGGCGAGCGGGGCTGGCCGAGCGGCGGCGGACGGGCGGCGGGCGAGCCGAGGCTGCCTTGCCGCAGAGGCTGCTCCCGGGTCCGCCGCGGTCTCCAGCCGGGCAGGACGCCCTCCCCCCCCCCAGCTCGGGAGCCCCTGCCAGCGGAGCCCCCGACCCTGAGGCCGCTCTCGGCCCGGGAAGGTTGAGGGGAGAGGCATCCCGCCGAGGACGGAGGGAGGGGAAAAAAAGGCGCAGCCGCTCGCGAAGCAGCTGCCCGCCCGGCCATCTTGCGCCGTGTGCTAGCGAGTGTGTGAGGGAAGCCTCCGCCTGTCTTTGCCGTCTCTCCGCGAAGCTTCCCTCTCCTCCCCTCCCCCACCCGCGCCCCTGCCCAGACTCCCAAAATGGCCGCCCTCGCTCCCTCAGCCACTACTGCGGCAGGGAGGGAGGGGGGCGGGGCCGGCGCGCGCCTCGGCCTCCCTTCCAGCGCGCCTGCGTCCGGGCCGCCTCCCTATTGGCTCGCCTTCCTCCAGAAACCCATTGGCCCGCCTTCCTGGCTCGAGCTCGCGCTCGCCTGTCCCCAGGCTACGGCTCGCTATTGGCTCGCCTCTCTCTCTCTCCCTCCCCCCCTCCCTCCGCCCATGCGTTCCGTCGTGTTGGGCACCAGCGGCGTTTCCCCTCTTCGCCCCCACCTTTTTTTTTTTTTTTTTTAACCCAGCTGCATTGAGCTGGCTTGCCACGAGCGCGTAACGGGCTCTGATTGGTCCGCGGGCAGCTGCTCTCGCGCTCTCTTCCCCGCAGCTGCTGCCCCGCCCCCCCGATGACGAAATGCCTTTTCAAGGTGGCTCCCTCCTCTCTCAGAATAGTGGGGGGGAGGGGGAAATCTGGCGTCGCTGATTGCTGGAGGAGCTTAAAGCGGGACAGGCGCCCCCTCCCACGAGGATTCCGCCTAGAGGCGTCCTAGAAGCTCGTTTTTATTTATTTTATTTTATTTATTGAATTTATATATTTATTGAATTTATATTATATATTTTGTGGGTGCCCCACTCCATTGTGGCTGTGTGTTTAGGCAGCCACACCAAATATTTGGTGGATTATGGGTCATTGGGTCTCTGTTGACTTGAGATCGACCTTCTCCAGCTAGACCTGCCCCCAACTTGGTCCTCCTTCAGGTCTTCCAATGTTGCCTCCATCACTTGGAGTCCATCCGTCTTGTTTCTCTGGTCAACCTCTTCTGGTCTCCCAATTTTCCAAGTATTATGGGCTTCTGAAAGGAGCAGAGTCTTTGCATTGGTTGGCTGAAGTGTTGTGTGCCATAAAAGCCAATGTTGGACCTACACAACTGTAGAGATAGAGCTCTAGGAAGATCTGTCCCCATCCTGATCCTTCAGGTCTTCCTTTGTCGTAGCAACGGAGTCCATCTATTTTGTTGCTGGTCATCCTTCTCTTTCCTCCCCGTTGACTGGATGATTATGTGCTACCGGGTTCTTGACTTATAGCAGGGATCTTCAAACTTGGTCCTTTTATGACTTGTGGACTTCAACTCCCAGAATTCCTCAGCCAGGCGTACCTGGCTGAGGAATTCTGGGAGTTGAAGTCCACAAGTCATAAAAGAGCCAAGTTTGAAGACCCCTGACTTATAGGAACCACAAATACAGACTTCAGGAGGTCTTGACCCCAACCTGGCCCTTCAGGTCTTCCAATGGTACTTCCATCATCGTTGTAATTGAATCCATTTTCCTCTAGCTTGTCTTCTTCCTTTTCCTTCCATCTTTTCCAACTTTAGGGACTTCTCCAAGAAGCTGTATCCTTGGGAATTCAAGTTCACAAGTCTTAAAAGTTGCCAAAGTTGGGGAACCCATTAAAAAGTGGGAAGCAACTAAACAATACTAGGAGATTGAATACATTTGTTACAGTGTAAGGTCAACTTCCAAGTTGAGATTGTCAATTAAAGGAAACCACTAAACCTCAAACCATGGTCACAGAAGTCTTGGAAAGCCAGTATGATTCAGCTACAGTTGAGTTACATCTCTAGCACATCATCAGTTCCAAAATACAATAATTTGTGAAGAAATCAACATCTGGGTAAACATTTTCCAGGCCATTCTGCAAAATGAAAACAACATTCACACGATACACTAAAGCCCAAAATAGAGTGCCATATAAAGAACCAGTGTAGTTATTTAGGATGTCATGCAGGAGCCCCCCAAAAATGTGTTAATTCAAACGTGTGAGCATCTTAGCTTGATAGCGACCATTTATGGATCAAGGCGGACAATAAAAAATAAGACCAGGAGGAAACTATGAAAGCTTCTCCTACTGTAATTGCCACTAATCCTTGGCTATAGACTTAGCCCATAGTGGTTGCTTTTACTCACGGCATATGGGATAAGTCATAATGATTTCATTTTTTTTTTAAATCTAAGTTAACAAGCTGCAATGCCTGGTATCAGACATTATTACAGCAAGTTATACTATAGTATAGAATTTAATAGTCCAACTTCTGAATCAGGATCGGTTCAAAATTAACCAATGTTGTTTTCCACATAGCAGTCCAGAGTCTGAGACTTGGACTTTGATCAAGCTGAACTTTCATCTTTGGGAGAAAAAAGCAGTTGCTTGTTTTACATCCCTGAAATTCTTTCCAATATTGTGCCATTTATTTAAATGCCTTAAAATGACAGTATAATTTTAGTAATTGTGATACCAATAGTTTAGAAAACAGGCATTTAATTTGGCTATGAGGAAAAGTATTTTTTTTCTTCCTTGCATTCCTCTTTTATTACATTCCTATATGAAATACATACCTCTATAACTATTTATATATAAACCCAAGTTACTCCGTAACGTAATAAGTACGCTTCTAAGTTGCACCACTTCTCGCTATTTTCATATTGCAAATTTGGTCTGGTATTTTGCTGATCACAATTCTGTGATCTCAAACCTATATCATCTAGTATCTGATAGAAAAAGGAATAAATTTCTGATGATACTTGTGAAGGATAAGCTTCCAGCTTCAGAACAAGATATAGCAATTCAAATCCTGCTGAGTTTAGTAGCTGTGCATCATCTACACAACAATAAAATACATTTCAGGTGTTTGTTTTATGGCATAATAAATATGTTGTTGATTTCACTTGATTTCTTAATTTAAGCAAAAAATAAGTTCTTAAAAACAGTGTTCCTGTTTTGGATAAATTGTAGCAACAGTCTGAAGTTATTTTTTTCACTGTACGGTATGTTGAAATCCAGAAAGGAAACTCAACACTGCAGCCCGCTGAATGCAGAACTGAGAAGTAAAAATGTGTCAAGGATTCTCCATTTTGAAAAACGGATTATTCTTTTTACACAGCACTAGGTTTGGATGTCAGCTGTCAACACACAGTAATTTTTTCAACAACCTAGCCAAGAAGAGTGCATGGAATTGTTGAGTAGCTAACGGATACTTTTGTTCTTGGATTCTCAAATATAGAAATGTTAGCCTTACTCTCTACATCAGAAAACCTTGTGAATTTGCCCTGGAACTGAAGTATTCTAACTGCAGTGGACTAGGTGGTATTTAGTTTCCCAACAGAGAATATATAATTGTAAAAGGGGGGTGGTGGAATAGAAGCTATTCTTGTGCCAATAATCTCTGACAGGAGACTAAATCTTTAGGGACAAAAATGGCTGTAAGTTTTAACTATTCAGTTGCTGCAAATCACAATAAGAAAGAGATTGAAATACTGGAAAGACATAAGTCTAACCTGTCTTAGAATTCTGATTCTGAAGAAGCTGCTCTAGCTGAACCAGTGGAATGCCAGCCTTAAAGAGACTATCATCTATTCTTGCTCTAACCTGAATATTTCCAGTATTATTCATGCATACTGTATATTATCAATCAGACCCTACAGCTACAGTATATGTAAGAGTGTGCTGGTTCAATCAGTTTAGCCACTCTGTTGCTCTGTCCTTTACAAAATGAAG